CTTTTGGCAGATGAAATCACTTAAGCTTGCTTAGAAGAAAGACTCAATGAGTAAGGAACTAACTTCTCTATAAACATGCTTAGGCTAGAAAGATCCTTTTCCTCAAGTGCACTTCTTTGAACAATTAAGTCAAATTGAGGAAAGCAATAATAGTTCTTGCCAGAAAGCTAATAAGTAGAGTGGAAGATCCACTCACAATTCTGGAAGAATGGTCTCTGAATAATTTGTTTCATTTGTCCTATCTCAATCTTCTAAAGAAGGATCCTGCACCTTCTGTGCATTCTAGTCTAAGGTAGACTCAGTTTGCAACTATTCTCAAATATTTATTGATGAAATGGAAAACCCATTGCCCTAGGTGTGACAAAACCTGAGATTCAGAAATCATCAATCATCTGACAGGGAAAGAAGGATACAAAACCTAAAATCACTCATCTTTTATCTTCAAGCTTAGAAAGTTGTCCTTTTTTAAAAAAATGTGGATAAAAATTAAGGGTCTTATGTGGTAGGAACTACAGACTTTTTACAAAAGTTGTGGAAAGATTTACTAATGGAAAAAATTGTGTGGAGAAGAAGACAGAGAAATGGGAGGAGAAAATAAGTGGAAAACTATGCCTTTAAAGGGATTTTGCTTAAGGAGCTGTATGGATAAGAAATCAGTGGTGGATTTCAAAAAATTTTACTACCGGTTCTGTGGGTGTGACTTGGTGGGCGTGGCATGGCTTGATGGGCGTAGCTTGGTGGGCATGGCAGGGGAAGGATACTGAAAATATCCATTCCCTCCCCAATCCAGGAGAAGGATACTGCAAAATCCCCATTTCTTCCCAATCAGCTGGAACTTTGGAGGCAGAGAATAGTGGGGCCAGTCAGAATTTTTACTACCGGTTCTCCAAACTACTCAAAATTTCCGCTACTGATTCTCCAGAACTGATCAGAACCTGCTGAAACCCACCTCTAAAGGAAATGGTTCAGTTAATTTATGGCATTCTTCCAAACAAATTAAGGTTAGTTCCCTTGCTGGAGATGGAGGCAAGTGCATCTGCCTTCAAGCAGCAGATGCAATGGTTAAGTTCTCATCCTGATAAGGGAAGGTTATACAAATAGCCAACTACATTAGTGAAGAGATCAGCCACATGTTACTATTCTCAAGAAGATATAAGGCAGTCTCCAACCTAGCGTACCGTTAAGAATATATTGATTTTTAGATGGGGAATAGTTCAATTGCCAGAATCTTTGTGTCCTTGTCTTTTTATTCTCAATAAATTTTATTAAAGAGACTCTTTGAGAATCATGCCTGGAAAATAATTAGCTTTGGTGGAGGCAGATGCAGGAGAATCCCGCAGCAAGGGGTTTGGATGCTCGAGGGGGAACTGATATTTGATGAAGTGCATGCAGGCTTGAAAAGGCCCATGTGAAAAAGAATATAAAGCTTTGAAGGAGCTGCCTACTATGAGGAATTATCCCTGGAGCTGGCCTGTGCGTAATTTAGTCTCACTGTACTTTGCAATAACTGATTAGAAGGGGAAATAAATTCCAAACACATGAATCGTACAGCATGATTTAATTTGAAATAAATTATAATTAAACTCTCACCCTGTAAAATAACTGAAAAGAACGGAAAGGTTAGCTTCTAGACAGACACTAAATAAATAGGTCCTGAATTATACAGATACTGAGGCTATAAACTAGGAGTAAGCAATGTATAACCACAGGACGAGAATTTTAATCTTTCAAATCCTTACAACTCCCTCATCAAGTTTCAGTAACAAGATGGTTAAGAAGAAAAATCACTATTTTAAGCCATTTTAACAATTGAAGTGACATCTGAATTGTAATATAAACCCCAAATTTAACAATTTAAAAAAAAAAAAAAACGTTTTCAACCTGAAGGAAGGGAAGGAATGGAGATAACATTCCTGCCCACTTCTGCATAAATCACTATTGCCAAAACATAACTGGCTTTATTACATCACACCAACCTTAAACAAAAGAAATTAAATGTATGATTAGTAGGATGTAAAATCCTTTTATATCCTTAAATTATCATAAGAATTTATTTCATATACAAGCCATTTTTGCTACCTAAGCATCTTGCAATAATTTGCAGTATAAATCACTGGCACGAATTAAGGTCATATGTTGAAGTATTTTAATTTTATATGGCAGAAAATGCACTGCTGTTTTTTTTTAATTGTAGTGTCTCAGAATCTGGCTTTCATGCTATATTTTTATTGTATTTTTAAAAAGAACTTTGTGATAATATAAACTGCAATTTTTAAATGAAAAATATTACATAAACTGCATATTTAAAAAGGTAAATGTGGTCCCTGACTAGTCATTTCCAACTCTAGAAGCTGGTACTTATCTCTGTTTCCTAGCCAAGGGAGCTAGAGTTGTCCGAAGACTCTTCCATGGGCATGACTTAATGCCAAGGCGCATGGAATGCTGTTACCTTCCCACAAAGTGGTACCTGTTTATCTACTTGCATTTGCTTGCTTTTGAACTGCTAGGTTGGCAGGAGCTGGGGCAAGAACAGGAGCTCACTCCATCACATGTATTTGGGTCTTTAACTGCCAGCCTCCTGGTCGATAAGCCCAGCGTTTTAACTGCTAGCCCCCTTGCCCCTTCTAGGCCCCCTTGCCCCCTCTAGGGGTCGCCCTAATGCATGTATTACCAAAAGCAGATTCAGACTTGCATTCTGAGTTAGCAGCTTGTAGTAACTTCCAGGCTGTGGCTTCTTGTAACAACAATGTGCTCCTGAAACTGTGCTCTAATGAGTACTGAAAATTAAAGAATAATCTTTTCTAGTTGCACTTCAAATTATTGATGTATGAAAAATATGATTTGTTAACTTAGATGGGTTTTTTCCTCTTTGGAACAATTTAATTACACAGCCAAGATTATCACCATTGTTAGCTGCCTTTCTGTCTGTTTCTGGACTCATGGAATCAGATTTCCCAAATGTGTGCCAACAAAACGATCTCTTATCAGCCTATAATTAGGTACTTATAAATAACCTGAGTCGATGCTCATTAATTTGAAAGAGGCAGCTACTGCAAAATGTAGCATCTGGACACTGCACGTAACACTAATGGTGAGTTAATTACACTAGTTTCTCAACAGCAAAGTCAAGTTCAAAGTTTTGCTTCCCATACATAGGATGTGAACAGACTGATAGATTGCCATATCTTCATGATTACCATAGACTTTCTCAGGTATTTGTGTGGATGATAAAATGTGATTTCTGATATCACAATGCAAACTCTGTGACTTACACACTAATCTACCATTGGATTAGAGGTTGCCAATCATGGCATGTGCCATGAAATCACAATATAAATGCCGTAATTTTTTTAAATCACTGTGTATATTAGTAGATATATCTGGTGGTGCAGTGGTTAAGTGCGATATTGCAGGCAAACTCTGCCCACAACCTAAAATTCGATCCTAATGTGGCTCAAGGTTGACTTAGCCTTCTATCCTTTGGAAGTCAGTAAAATGAGGATCCAGATTGTTGGGGACAATATGCTGACTCTGTAAACTGCTTAGAGAGGGCTGTAAAGCACTGTGAAGCAATATATAAGTCTATTGCTTATAGATACATGTAAGGCTATTGCTATTGCTATTGTTATACTTAAAAACTGCAGTTATTCACTTTACAGCCGTTGCAATAAAAATCAGGCATGACTCATTTAACAACTGCTTTATTTAACAACAGAAACTGTGGCCTCAAATATGGTTGTAACTTGAAGATTACCTTTACAGAGTTTTATCACGTGATTCCTTGTAGCTTATTTGTTTGTAGCAGTGCCTGTATGCTCCCTGTCCTGAACTTCTTCAGACATCTTTTTATTATATTTATCCCAAAGGAACACAACTTCTCCCCGCTTCCCAAAAAGAGAAGATAAATACAAACAGAAATCCACTGTAAGACATTGGCATTTGCCCACTTTATCAATTAGGAGTTGCTAACTCCAGTAGAAACCAATCCGCCAAATCCCTCCATTAGAAATATGAGTTTGTGAATTAACTGAAATAATAATCACTAGTTAAAGTTAATGTGCTTGTAAAATAAACTGCATTGATAAAATTCATTTAGCAACCATTTATCTATAACACTGTTTCATTCTCACATGCATATGAATGCACCACATGCATTCTCACATATGTACCTCCTTACCACATTCTACTTTAATCTTCCATCAGAAATAGCAAACTGGAAGGCATTACGACAGGAAAAAGAATATCTTTACAGGGGTGGGTGGGTGGGTGGGTGGGGGAGAGGATTGTAGGAAGTGAATATCTGCCTTGAGAAATAAGAGATATGAAAAAATTGCCACCATTGCTTTTGCCATTCCAAACTCAACTTTGCTTTCTTTTCAATGTCTCTCCCCATTAAATAGTCTTTATATCAATTCTGCAAAACTATATCAATTCACACATAATTATGGGATGGGATGGAGAGAATCATCTCTTTGTTTAAGTAAATATATTACATTTCTTAGACACTTATTGAAGACCTATCTTATGAACCCTACTTCCCCATGTGAGTACTGGATGAATTACTTTGCTTGGATTGGCTTTCCTGCTTCTGTTCGTATTCCTTTTTTTAAAAAAAGAATTTTATTAAAATTCAAAAAACAAAAGGTAAAATACAAAATTACAACAAAGATGAAAAAGATGGGAGTGAGGAACAATTGGGAAAGTTTAAAAAATGACATTAAAAATCAAACATCAAAAAGGTCATTAAAAAGTTGGTACCTCCAACTTTCTTCAATATGGATAGAGTTACTATAATAAAAAGCACTCTTATTTTAGTGCTCCTACCAGTATTCATATTCCTATTGTTCTATTGTTCTAATTTATTAGTTCCTTCCTAGAATTTAATTTGAGATGCAAATTTGCTATGCAAAACAGTACAGAAATATACTAAATACACTTATTCCAGTATGAGAAACAGGATATATTCAAAAGAGCTGTAGCCAAAAGAATAAATAGCTTACTTGGTCCTCAAAGGAAAGAGCCTGGGCAACATCTCGTGGAAATCCATCAATAACAATACCTTCCTCATCAGGAATTTGCATTAATCTTTGCTTTATCTCAGTAATTGTGGTTTCCTTGAACAGATAAACAACAACAAAAGATATATATATATATTTCAAAAGTACATTCTCAAATGTTGCTGGAAAAAAACACATACACATATGATTGTGAAGGCTTGTTGTTGTTTTTACCTGTGGGGCTAATTCCCCAGTTGTAATTATCTTTGCGATCAGACTCCATTTTCGATTGCTGCTTGTGCTATGGATCTTCTTTCTTAACAATTCACCCACAGAGATATACTCAAATCCATAGCGTTCTGCTATTTTTAAGCTCTGAGTTCCTTTACCACTGCCGGGTCCACCTATAAGGAAAAACAAAAGTGTTACCAAGTTTTCTCAGATGCATTGCCCCGATTATCCTCCTCCTATCATCCTAAATGAGCATCAAAGTCAAGCTTGTAGCAATCTTTCAATGACGAATAACTTGAGTTAGAATCTAGGCCAGTCTTTCCCAAACCTTCAAGATATACTAGAAGTCAGCACAACAGAAGTTGATTGGAAAAAATAGCTTTAGATATCATTGAATGTATGAAGTAAGTTTATCAGCTTTTGTGGAGCTAGAGAGAAGGAGTTCATTAGTCTATCAACTCCTATGGTATTTTTCACTCAAACACCACAGAGCAGAAATGAGACCACCTGTTACCCTCTGGCTCCTCAGTTCTCTATTGATCTAACCATCAGCAGCTATTGGTGGCATAATGCTCTCAACAATAAGGAACTTTAGTGTGGTGTTGTATAAATGAATATGACAACAATGCACTGCATCTGCTAGGAGTTCTTGCTGAAGTGTAACTCCCAGCCATCACAACCCTCATATCATCATTTTGATGAAATGGTCACATTTTGAAGAATCCTTCTCCCACTGCCAATGTTTGCTCAGGATGATGGTGCTAGGGACACTGTCAGAAGATTATCCAGCTAGCAGAGCCGAATCAGGAGCATGATTCCTCCAAACTAGTATATATACCAGACATGCAAAAGGAAGAGTAATAAGGAAGAGATTCCCAGCAATGGTGTCAGTGTCCTTAGTGTGTTTCTTTATCCTGTTAGATTTAACTACCAGATTAGATTTTATCTTTCTTACAGTTCAATCTACAGGGATTCAGCTCTATTTGCAACTATGTGTTTCAGGTGAAGTTTATTGTAGAACATTTAAGCAGCAGGCTGGAGTCCTCAACAACAAAAACTCTGACATTCATTGACCCAGCAGCTCCATTGATAAAATCCACTGCCAATCTAAGAAAAATATTATTGGTTTTGTTGTGGTCAGCCTCATTTTTTTGCTTTCTTACCTATGACTAGAATGATTTTGGGTCGAGGCCTGGTCGGGTCGAACACATCATATTCCTCAATAAGTTCAGCTGTTTCTGAGAGATCCGTGTCACTCTCGATGGAGAACTGGTGGATTGGAGGAAGTCGATCATATCTCCGGTAAGGAAAGTTGGGGTTGTCAGGCATCACTGTAAAATATGAAATGGTAATGTCAGAAATGAGAATCCCTTTGATGGTAATATAAGAGTATAATAATGCTAGAAACCAGGAGACCTAAGCTCTAGGCCTGCCTTAGGCATGAAGCCAGGTGGGTGACTTAGGGCCAGTCCTTTTTTCTTTCAATCCTAGGAAGAAGACAATAGCAAATCACTTCTAAAATCTTGCCAAGAAAATAGAATTGACTTTTCCAGGCTGCTGTCGGGAATCAAGACTGACTCAAGAGCATAAAAAGCAACAAACAAAAAAGACAAAAGATCAGAAATATGTCCTTTTATGTTCATTAGTAATGAATAGCAGAAATAGTTGATGTTTTTATAAAAGGCGTAATTGTTACCATGAGATCCTGTTTAATCCTCTTTACAAATCCTTCAATACACTCAGAGGAGAAAAACATTTACAGCCTCAAGTCAATTTGGACTCTTGACGATTACGTAGGTACTTCCATGTCCTTTTCTTGTAAATCATACAGATGTTAAAAACATTTTTCAAAAATCGTTGTTGATGACACTAGTTTAATGTCACAGAGAATGATTCACCCAAGTTAAGCTAAATTGTGGGATTTAAGATAAATAATGAGATTCAGTATGTTATACAGCTGGCTAGCTGGAGAATTCTGGGAATTGAAATCCACAAGTTGTAAAGGTGCCAAGACTGGACAAACCTCCCCCCCACCCCCTATTTGGTATATCGTAGATATCTGTGCAGCTGTGTTAATGCAATAAACTATATTTAAATAAGCCATAAATAAGTTATGGGCTTGCATGTTGAGTAAATACAGCCAGCAAAACATTCTATAACATTCGTGCAATGAGAAAACAGGTTGCCTCTTTAAGAACAATTCATACTCTGCAGTTTATTCACAGAACTAGTTCCAATCAATGATAGCCAGCAGAAGATCAAACATCAGTCTGCTGTACTGAACTTTGATTAATACCAGATATTCTAAAACCTACTTCAATAAGATGTCCCTAGCAAGCTTTAATCATAATTCAGCTAGATCCAAGTTCCTCTCTTGAAGAAGACAGCTGTTCCATTCTTATGAGACATCATAGGAAATTAGAATGGGACAAGCATCAAAGAGTTCCTTTCAAGAAAGGTTTCATCTGTTGCTTCTATATTCCTTCAGATTCTGTCCTACTGAATTTCCTGACTTTTTCCCCACTCCTTAAACTCCCTAGAAACCTGACAGAGATGATCTTGATGGGAGAGGGCCCTCAGCTAGAGGATCGCTTGTCTCTAACAACTGGAGAATCCTATCACAAAGAGATCATTTGCAAAGAGACATCTCCTGAAAGGAAGGTATGCCTTATAAATTGCCTGTTATGTGATTAGAGCATCATAGAATTCAATGTGTTTCAGATAAACTTTTAAGTGAATGGTTTCTTGTATACTCTTGGTTCACAAATAGATGACCTCAGAATGATTTCTACACTATGTTAAGACAGCATTTTGGTTTCCTTTACTTAGAAAGATGACCTCTAAAAACTGGAACATCTGTCCATTTTTAGATAAATCTTGTCATTTAGCCAAGAAGGAAACAAAAAAAGGTTTGTAATAATCTGTTATGTAGAGTTTTGAATGATTTACAGCGCCTTTCACATTGATAGGTAGAGATAAAAGTGCATACTAACCGATAAATGTCTTTGCAAGTTCAGTTTTAATTTGATTTTAATGCATCTTTTTAGAGTCATTTGTTACAATATTACATGGCTCATTTAATCTTACGGACTGTAATTCACACAAAACCTGAAAATAGCTTAATTGCTTTAAAAAATACTTTATGAGTGCATTCATAAAAATAAAAAAAAATATTTTTCTCACAATACATTAAGCTATGAACATGATTTTGGCATGGTTTTAAATAATAGCAAATCTAGAGATTGTTCTCTAGGTGATTTAACTAATCAATATTAATTGTATCCTCAGCATGACTTGGCATTACTTCTTGTAATGTTTGGTATTGTTGTTTTGGTATTGTTGCTTGGCCTAAATATATTCTTTAAAATGCTTTTGTGTTAAAGTTAGAAACCATATGGCATTATGCCATTATTCAATTGTTGATGTTCAGTGGATACATTACAAAACTATTTAAACATTAAAAAGAATAAAATGTATTTATTTTCATCATAAATACAATTGAAGAGGAGGAAATGGTAATAATCACTATCCCAACGTCAGAGGCCAACTCTAACAATTAACTGTAAATATTCTTTTATAAAGAGGAATATCTTAGTTTGTAGCCAAAGTATAACTAAGTCTTACATATTTTCCAGAGAACATCATTCCATGCACAGGGCTGTTCATTTAGCAACTCCTTGAAGTTGCAATGGCACTGAAAAAAAAATCCTCACACTTAAGACCGCCGCAGCCCTCCAGACCTCACACTTAAGACCGCCACATCTTCCCCTCAGTCACATGATCAAAACTCGGTCTCTTGCCAACCGGCAGGAATTTATGATGGTCATATTGTCTTGGAGTGCTGTAATAACCATTTGTTATCTTCCAAATTGGCTTCCAACAAGTAGAGTCAATGGGGGAGGTTGATTTTGCTTTTAATGAACATGTGATTCACTTAACAACTGCAATGATTTGCTTAACTGAGGCAAAAAAAGTTGTAAAACTGGGCACGACTCATTTAACAACCGCTTTACTTAGCAATGGAAATTCTGGTCCTAATTCTGGTCATTAGTCACGAACTACCTATAAATGCTGCGTTCCCTTATATTCTCAAAACACTATGTAATCATTTATCAGGTCCATCCATCTCCTTACCACAAACTGAAATGTAAAATTTAAAATTATCTTACCATTCCTGAAAAATGCTCTTCTTGACTGGTTGCCGTTTAGTGGAGGCAGTGACCTTTTTTCCGGACTGACAAAAGTGTCCCATTTGACTTTTTCTGCTCCCCCCAGTTCCTTTACTTTTTGTAAGCAGCTTTCCAGATACTCCACGGGATCATCGGGTTTGCAGCACATTAATCCATTCAGCAAACTCTGAAACATAAGAGATTGACCGACGAATGCAATTTAATGAAGTCGAAAATAAATTTATAGTCTAGGGCCAAAGAATTATTGAGCAGCACTAGACGGCAGCAAAACGCTAGAATTTTCTACTTCTCTGGAGAGTCATTTAACAGACACCAGTATTTTTCTAGATTAAACAAAATTATAGACTAAAATTATAAAATCCCTGTCTTTTTCGTACCTAAACATGTGCCATCATGCCATTCCTTTTTGAAGTAAGAAATATTATGCAAACCACAGAGAGGAAGACAGAAGGAGAAAAGGTCTTGAGGCCAGAAAGGAAAGGAAATGAGCTAAATCCAATTTACTCCAACTCTATTTACAATACCTCTTCATATTTTCAGATTCTCGGGAGCTTTCTTGCTACCATACTACTCATGTCCCACTTTATACATTGCTTTCAATTTTATTATTCTTTCCAATTTTGTATTATGCCACTGACTAAGAGATACGATAAGTACAAGCTCTAAAATTAAAGTGTGGTTTATTAAACCTATAAATTCTTACTCGTAAAGCTGTAATATAGAGTCTGATTGTTTTCGTAGTAATGTAAATCATCCAATTTTCTATAAAATAGCTAACTGTCTCATACTATGGAAGATGCAGTCAAAGAGGGAAAAAAAATCAATATTTCCATTTCAACAACTTGTGAACTGACATATAATGAGGCCACCACAGATATAAATCCCCTTTCAATTTAATTGCATGTCCTTCTATTTTCAAAGCAAGTCTGTGAGAGTGAATGATTTTAATTCCATGTTACATGTACAATAAATAGCCATATATACAGTAAATAGCCTACATCTCAAAATTCATATGCTACACATTGTAAATTGCACTGCCAAATTCCCTAGTGGTAAAATGGTGTGTAGACTTTGGGAAGTTGTTAAAAGTGAATATGGTTGCTGTTTTTGGTGCTAAATGTTAGTCTTACCAAACATACCTTCCAAGTTCTATCTTGTTTTGGAATATATTTTAGGTCAGGGTAAGAAAACCAGATACTGTACTCTCCAAATGGTTTGGCTTCCAGTTATCACCAGCAGTTATGGTGGCTGTGGTAGAACTTCTGAAGATGGCCTGATTCCACAGGGTTTTACTTTATTTTGTGAAACACTTGTTTCAAATGGCATTATTGTATAAACTTTCATAGATTACTGTCTATTTCAGTGGAAAGATCACTTAGGAAAAATTGTATGCACATGATGGCCACCAAAAATCTTGCAAAATGTGAAACAGAGACAAGTTGGCATTAATGAGCTGGTTAACAAATACCGTGTTGAATCAGATCATCTCCCCTTAGTTTAGGCTGCTTTCTCCTTCACTTTCTACAGGTAGCTCTCGACTTACAACAGTTCATTTAGTGACTGTTCAAAGTTACAACGGCACTAAAAAAAGTGACTTATGACCACACTTATGACCGTTGTAGCATCCCCAGGGTCATGTGATTTACATTCAGATGCTTGACAACTGATTCATATTTATGACAGCTGCAATTTTCTGGAGTCATGTAATCCCCTTTTGTGACCTTCTGACAAGCAAAGTCACCGAGGAAACTAGATTCACTTAACAACCTTGTCACTACTATAACAACTGCAGTGATTCACTTAACAAGTGTGGCAAGAAAAGTTGTAAAATAGGGCAAAACTCACTTAACAAATTTCTCACTTAGCAATATAAATTTTGGGCTCAATTGTGGTCGTAAGTTAAAGTCTGCCTTATTTTATTTCTGCAGTAGCATGCTATACTTACTAAATATGAACTCATAAATATTAGCAACTTCTGTGTCTGATGTTACTAGAGGTAGTACTCCACTTACAGCCATTCATTTAGTGATTCGCACAGAGAAAAGTTACCTTCAACCAGTCCTCATGCTTTTGCAGCATCTGCATAAATCACATGTCAAAATCCAGATGTTTAGCAACCGACATATATTTAGGACAATTGCAGTGTCCCAGGGTAATCTGATCGCCACTTACAACCTTCCCAGTTGGCTTCCGACAAGTAAAGTCAGTGGGGGAGCTGTATTTCTTTAATGACTATGTGATTCACTTAACAACTTCAGTGATTTGCTTAACAACCATGGCAAAAAAGGTTGTACAATTGCCTTGCTTAGCAATGGAAAGTCTGCTCCCAATTGTTCTAAGTTGACATGTTTCTGCTCTATCCTTGAAAACTTGAGTGTTTTATATCAATGACAATCATAAGGTATTTCCTATTTGCTTATCTAAATTTTACAGCACACAACACTATGGCAAATGGAAATATGGTAAAACCATTTCTCCACAAGAAGGGCTTTGGAGAGAAATTTTTCTGAACTGTGTTTAGGAACATTGGAATAGAATAGAATAGAATAGAATAGAATAACAGAGTTGGAAGGGACCTTGGAGGTCTTCTAGTCCAACCCCCTGCCCAGGCAGGAAACCCTACACCACTTCAGATAAATGGCTATCCAACATCTTCTTAAAAAATTCCAGTGTTGGAGCATTCACAACTTCTGCAGACAAGTTGTTCCACTTATTAATTGTTCTAATTGTCAGGAAATTTCTCCTTAGTTCTAAGTTGCTTTTCTCCTTGATTAGTTTCCACCCATTGCTTCTTGTTCTACCCTCAGGTGCTTTGCAGAATAGTTTGACTCCCTCTTCTTTGTAGCAACCCCTGAGATATTGGAACACTGCTATTATGTCTCCCCTAGTCCTTCTCTTCATTAAACTAAACATACCCAGTTCCTGCAACCGTTCTTCATATGTTTTAGCCTCCAGTCCCCTAATCATCTTTGTTGCTCTTCTCTGCACTCTTTCTAGAGTCTTAACATCTTTTTTACATCGTGGCGACCAAAACTGAATACAATATTCCAAGTGTGGCCTTACCAAGGCATTATAAAGTGATATTAACACTTCATGTGATCTTGATTCTATCCCTCTGTTTATGCAGCCCAGAACTGTGTTGGCTTTTCTGGCAGCTGCTGCACACTGCTGGCTCATATCTAAATGGCTGTCCACTAGGACTCCAAGATCCCTCTCACAGTAACTACTATTGAGCAAGGTACCACATATACGGTACAGTACCTGGAAACAGACATGAAGTAATATTTCAAAAATTCTATTCTGATACATGATACACATACTTTATTATGATTTAGGACTTACTAGTAAATATTCTAAAAGTAAAATAAGCATGACAGCACAGGATACAATTGCCAAGATCTGCAGTATTTAGAAAACAGTAGGGATTACAGCTAAGGGTCTAAATTATTCTGAATTTAGATACTTGTTTTCTGTGGACTGCTACAACTGAAAAGATGATAGGTTCTAAAGTCTTGATAGTGATATAAATTTTCTATATATAGGATTTTAATTGGAAGAGAACATTCAGTGATCCATACTTGCATTCCAAGACGATAATACTTCTGAATAATTGGATAGTTTCAAAATACATTCAGAATTATGGAGAAGAATACTTTTTAAAGTTATAAAGTCTCCCTATGTATGTTACATAGCCAGAAAAAACTGGAGGTTTTTTTTTCCTGACAGTTATTATTAATTTGATGAGCCTGAACAATATAAAAGTTAACCGCTATTGAAAAAAATACAGTTTGGTATTTTTTAAAAAAATATTTTTAAAATAAATAATATCACTGAACATTTTCTTAACCTCAGTTAAGTCAGATAAAGTAGGAATCCCCAATCCCTGGTCCGTGGACCGGAACTAATAAACTAATAAGCCTTGGTGGCGCAGCAGACTAAAGTGCTGTTAAGTAGCAGCAGCTGCCTGCAATTACTGCAAGTTCAAATCTCACCAGGCTCAAGGTTGACTCAGCCTTCCATCCTTTTGAGGTAGGTAAAATGAGGACCCGGCTTGTAGGGGCAACTTTGTATAAAAAAGAACACCGCTTAGGGGGGGGCCGAAAGCCCTACTAAGCAGGTATATACAAAAGTATGAAGGCTATTGCTTAACGCATTGTAAGCCGCCCTGAGTCTCCGGAGAAGGGCGGCATATAAATCGAACCAATAAATAAATAAATAAATAAATAAATAAATAAATAAATAAATAAATAAATAAACAAACTAGGCCACACAAGTGGCAGGTGAGGGTGTGATGCTCCATTTGCACGCATGAAACCCCCTCCCCCTGCTACCTCTGCCTGCCAGTGCAGCTTCCAATCCACAGAGCCAGAAAGGTTGGGGACCACTGAGATAAAGTACTTGTTTAGAAACCATTTGCAGTTACAATGGTGATGAAAAACTTTGCAACCAATCCTCGCAGTTACAACCTTTGGAGGTCTACAAAGTGAAGAAAGCAAGTAAAGTAAGACCACAAACACAGTCGCCGTTTCATTTAGCTACCACTTCACTTAACAACCAAGTTGGTGGTCTCAATTGTGGTCAGTAAATAAGGACTACCTCTACTTTGCATAGATAACATTATCAGATTGAAGTATTTGGCTGCGATACCAGCAAGGCAATCTACAGCTGTAAATTAAACTATAGATTAATCCAGTTGAAAAACATCCAGATATGTATCATTGCTATACTGCTGTCAAGAAAACAACATGGACCTCAGAAAGTGAATCCCATTTAAGCAATATTTTATTTAGGAATACTTATTTGGAAGGAAGCCTTATTAAACCCAGTGATAATTGTTTCCAATTGCCAAGGATTGGAATGTAGCCCTACTTTCATTATAAATACATGTGCTCAGAATTTCACACCCCAAGAATATATAAAAGAATTATGTCTGCAGAATCATTGCACTGAAAATGACAATTGGGACAATTTTATTAGCAGCTGTTTGATTTAGCCATAAGAGCCTGTGAATAAATGTTGTAAATGTAACAAAGCATTGCATTGTCCAGGACTAATTTGCTTACAGGCATTCTACTTTTTATATTTGGATAGGAAGGCTAAAAGTTTAAGATGCTGTATTTTAATAATATAGCAACATTTGTAAATCAGCTACTTTACATAACTGTT